AGTTCACGTTGCCACACTCCATACTGCATACAAAGGCAGAGAAAAGACAGAAACCAAGATTCCAAAGAATTACAATTGTGCAGAAATGTACGAGGCGAAAGAATGTCGACATCGAGAATAATGAGCAGCTAACGGATCTGGGAGGGGGGGGGACCACGTAGACTGAATACATCTGAGTCATTGAGGACGTTTTTACGTCATATCACCAGTAGTCTCCAGAAATCGGCTCTTAGCTTCCCGACGACCCGGACCACGTAGTCTACACCTTGCTAAGCAGTTGGCTCAATGATGTTAGGTTTTCGTTTGACCACCCTTAACTCTTTTCCAGTTTAATCGTATGTCAGGCGGCTCGGCATGCGCAACACATTGTCCTAGATATCTCGATCGATAGAGCTTCACAACCTCATCGTTTGACTTACCCTCTATACCTTGCACTCTATGCCTAACTTCCATATTGCTCGTCCTATTATACTACTTACTACGGGTGACAGAAGGTAAACACATAAGGTCTAAAACAACTAGCCTCTTCAAGTCTTCCGCTTCCAGAGACCATGTCTTACAACCATAATGAAAGGCGAAACAGACTGTTCTGCAGTGTACACGTCCTTCCATCGATAGCTCGATATCATATCTGAGCAAGCAATCACGTGGGTTGATAAATCCATACGAGCAGTTTGCATCCATGCTGAGACTTCGTTAGCAATCAGACAGTTAGGACTGATGCCGCTACCCAAATAAGCAAGGCAGTCAACACACTCTACGAATTCCATCCCCATATATAGGCTAAGAGTAGGTGCAGACCAGTCTTTCAGAATCATCTTGTGGTGAGAACTGGCTGCTAGCCAAATTCGTAGACAGTAATTTACGTCAATGTTTACGTCCCCAATATTGGTCATGAGAAAAGTAAGAACAAAGACTGATTCAACAACCAATCACAGAAGACTTTGCGTAGGCGGATACAATTTGCAGATAGATAATCTGAACTTCAAGAAACGGCCACAAAGAGATGAAAGATTAACGTTCAACGAGAAACCACCAATCAGAAGACTGTGTTTTTCTGCTAACAATAATCTATAATAATGTACATGAAAATCTATAAATATCTGTTGATTTCCTAAATAAACGATCTGTTGCCTGTCCCTTGTCTTCTGTGGTTACAATCTTACATTTGACAGAAAGGAAACACACATGCCGAACATACAACGACTTTTTTTCAAGGTGTTCAGAAAACTCTGCATCCTGTTAGCGTCTTCCTCTGATAAGACGATATCATCCGCATACTCCAAGTTCCCGAGACTATACCCTAGTAACAAGTCAATTTCTAAGTTACTAAAGTTTTTGATATTCGTCAGTAACGCGTATGTGCAACCCTGAAGGAAATGATGATATCCCTATGAGATTCTGGCTGGATTCAACATAGAACTTGGCACCGAAGTGCAGCAGTTCGAGTTGCCACGTTCCAAATAGCACACAAATAAGGTAGACAAGAAGATGAGTGAAGAGAATCAAGAGAGTTCTGACAAGTATAAGAGTGAAACAGAATGAGTAATAGTAGAAAGGAATATGAAAGATTACAGAGACTGAATACATCTGCGTAAGCCATTGACAACGATTTTGAGCCATGTCACCTATTGTCTCCAGCCATTGATTCTTAGAGTCCCAAGGGCGGGCTCCAACCTTGAAGTCTGCATCTCCCTACCTGACTCAGTTTAACTGTCAAGGATTTCATGGATTGATGCCATGTTTCTGTTTGGCCACCACTTACTCTTTTCCAACCCACAACACCTATATCAGCTAGTAATGCCCGTCCGTCGGGGGAGGCGATGGTTAGGCATGCGCAGCACGTGACCTAGCCATCTCAATCTATGTAACTGTATAGCCTTGTCGATTGATTTTTCCTCTTTGCCCAACACTCTACGCCTAACGTCAACATTACTTACTTTATTATACCACCTAATGCGAGAAAGAGATCGTAAACATCTGTGGTCAAAAACAGACAACTTTTTCATGTCATCAACTCGTATTGGCCATGTTTCAGAGCCATAGAGATGGACGGAGCGAACTGATGAGCAATACACACGTCCCTTGGTTGATAGCCGGATTTCACGCCTACGCCGGAGACGGTGTAATTTAGCGAAAGCAGCCCGAGCTTTTTGGATTCTATGAGATTCAAACTGGCATCACCCAGGTACTACAGTCACAGACACTGTTACTGAGCTATTCGGATTCCCGAATGATAAGAATACTTCTACGGGACAAAGTGTACTTCTTTCCGCCTCCCCCCCTACTTTCAGAATACAGAATGAACTGAACACTACAAGGAGACATGATCATGAACCGCAGGTAGCTGAGGGCATCTAGATTTATTTTCGACTGTGGGGTTGTTAAATCATGTGGAGTTTGCGTCAACAGAAGGAGCCTATAATACATACCACAGTCTCAATAGTTGAATCAATACCAATGAGGATTAACTAACTAATTAACTAACTAACTAAAATGGAAATGCGCATCTGTGTCATATATTATATACAATTATCAATCTCTAGTTATTATGTAATGGTTCTGCTTCATATTTCTTGTAACAGATATAAGCCAAGACTTGTTTAAACAATGCATGCATGCATGCGTTTAGTAATATGATACAGTATATATAGCATTTCTTTGCCAAATAACAGTTTGTATGTGTGTTAAGAAAAATGACATTGAAATGAATTATATACATATATATATATATATATACCATTTGGTTGATGATCTGTTTACCGGACAAATAGCTGCGCATCACATTTTTCTCATATGTGGTCTTGCCATTATAGTGTCTTCAGTGTATTGCCAAACTGTGCGTAATAATGCAGATTGCCATCAACCGTTAAACAAATAACGAAGCTAGAGATATGTGAACGCAAATACTAAGCGGCAAGCTCTTTATTCGCCTCCGATAAGGAACAACTGGCAGTAAAGACAACAATGGAACTGTGACTCACCAGTCTCGGTGCTCAATTTCTAACATGGGGGTGGTGGGTTTCGAATCCTGCTCTACCAATCAAAGTTCGAGAGCCCCATATAAACGGCTTGGTACGGCTGAGGGTAGGCACACTTCGAAATGCTTTCATGTGGCAACATGTTCATTTCTTCTGTTAGGTCAGTCCTATTCATCATTGCCTTCATGCAGTAGGGATGTTCTTCACAATAGTTAAAGAATGAATACGAAGGTTTGAGGCTTACGAAAGGACTGGTGCACCTCGGGGTCTACCACCTAGGGAAGCTAGGAAATTGTGATTCCAAACACATCGTATACATGGGCTCCAGAATCCGAACAGATAGAATGGCCCATGAAAATATTTTGACCGCAGTCAACCATGGGAACGTAGCTCCTGACGCTGCCCCACTACCTTGTGCATCAGGCTTCAAGTCAAAAGCTTGAGGGATGGCTCCTCGAAACAACCACCTGATTAGGTCAGAGGTTGGTCTACATAACTATGCATCAAGTACACGATAAGACAGGTCAGAGACGGGAACCATACACTTACAGGTGACAATATTGCTATAGGACAACAAAAGGAAAGTTTGATGTGAATTAACAGTTAATGTAAAGGTATGGTATCAATACAATACACTACTGTAATGCATTCAACTAGTCTTTAGTCATAGTTTCCGGTGATCGTCAAGTGGACACAAATAAAACGATCCATAGTCTTTCTTATACACACACAACGAACTTATAATGTGTGAAGTGAACTGAATTCTACTGAGAGAAATCGTGACCATTGTAGCCCATCAGGTCGAGTGTAAGGACAAGTACTCCCGGTTGACATTGGCTAGCGATGGCGCAAAAATCGCGAAGTAACAGAAGTTAGAAAACTCATGGGTCGTTAGATTTCATCCCTATGGCTGAATGGTTAACGAGCTCATCTTGCAATCTAAAGAACTTCGAATTGATCCTCAGTGGGATTATGGTTGCGTCCTGTAAAGAGTCCCGAAAAAGCACGAAACAGCTGTCTAGTACTCCCAAGTTTTCCAGTAGTTCGCTAACTCACATCAGCTCATGATGGAATCCTCTAACCAATCAAAACTAAAGAACAACAAAATAATGTACGGGGAATAGTTTGCTAAGCTGTAGTGAGTTTAATTTAAAAACTTCTATCAATAAGTATGACTGAACAGTGATAGTTATTTTGCTTACTTATCGATGACGATTCTAGGTGAGATGTGAAAAAATAAGAACAGGCTCTGGAACATGCTATCTGCAAATAATTTGGAGACATATGAATCTTCTGGCAGGACTTTGAGGCTGTTGCACAGTTGAGTGGCGTTCAAGATCCGTCAGCGATGAGGCTGTTACTTGGAACGCTGCTGAGGGGTCGTTCGAAGACAGCATAATATAGTGTGAGGCGAAAAACCGGCGAATACGCGACAGTCAGGGTCATGCAAACTGCTTCCAATGTGGGAAGGACCATATATGGTTACAGTGAGACGGGGTCACGTATATACCATCAGAAGTGCAAACAAAGAGAAGCAGGTAAACGTCAGCGAGCTCTAGAACTGGATACAGCAAGATAAGCTAACAAAGCCGCTAGCATCAAGAAGACCGAACCGAATTCAGTCGAAAGTATTTGATGGAGGGAGGGACAAGTGTGGTGGTGTGATACAGACAATGTGTGTTCCAACGGAATATTATTCTCACATATTCCCACAGTTCAATACTGCATTAGCAACAGAATACGATATATATGTATTTGAACATTCTATTTCATTTCGTTTAATGTAAACCGAAATCACACGCTCAGTGATTGGTTGAAGAATATAAAACTATATATATATATATATAAACAGCGGTTTAATTAATTGGAAATATGTACCTCGGCTTCCGTGTCTTGCCTTCTATTGTTACACTACTACTAGTTGTGATATAAATGGCACACAACTACTCACAAAATTACTCAAACAGTAGTAGTATATAGCTTTATAAATGATAATTATTAATGAATGAATAAACTCACCAATTTTTGAAGGGAATATCGCTTCATTCTCCAACTGTTTTTGTATCCATATCATTAAACAGTCAATATAGTGAGGAGCAGAGCATTTCAGAGGTTTTTTCACTGTTTGCCCATCTGCCCAATGATATTCATATTTTGGACCAGCTGACATAATTGGACATGTATCATCTGTACAAAATTCTATCAATGTTCCATACAACATATTGATTTGATTGAAAAAGTCTACAGCTAAAAAAGAAAATAAATAAAATAAAATAGATCGGATAAAGAATTTAATCAAGAATTGAACAACTGTCGAAGGTGTAACACTGATTGAAGTCGAGAGTGAAAGCACTAGATTTGTCATATATATAACTGATGTCAGCTCATGATGAATCCTCCATGCAATTAAACAAAATCCTACCAAACCAATACTAAAACAGTAGACACGTCACTCGATATTCTTTTAATTTCTTTTATGTTCCTTGTGAAACACAGGGCTTCAAATTAGAGCTTTGAGGTTTCCGTAGCAGTGACGTTTTGTTTTACAAGGTAGGGTTTCTAGCTTGATGCCCAGCCCAACCTTGCCTATTTGTCTGGTTTACGACCCACTAGAGGAGGTGTAAATAGGGAGTGAAGTTGTAGACTGTGTTGACCACTTATTTGGGAAGTTGCATCAACCAATGCCCCAAAGGGGTTGATCGCCGACGATGATACAAAAAGCTAGTTTCGCATATTCCAGTTTACCCTCTCTGGTAGTAGACGTGATATCCGTGCTGGCTATCGACCAAAGGGCGTGTGTACTGCTCACCAGTCCACTCTGTCATCCTTTATGGCTGTGACTGAGACATGACCATTCAGAGGGGAAGACATGAAAAGGTTGGCTGGCTGGGTTTTATTTCCCGTGTCAAGTGGTATAATAAGGTGAGCAATATTGAGGTGAGGCGTCGAGTGCTAGGTGAGTTGGAGGGGAAATCAGTAGACGAGGCTGTGAAGTTACATCAATTGAGATGGTTACGACATGTGTTACGCATGCATAGCCATCACCTTCCTCGACAACAGGCGATGTTAGCTGATATAGGGTCAGGTTGGAAAAGAACTAGCAAGTGGTGGTTAAACCAAAACATGGTTTCATCAGTCAATGAAATCCACAACATTTAGTTTAAGCCAGGTAGCCAGCCACGTAAGGTGGTGTAGACTTTTTGGGTGGTTGGGGTCCTCAGGACGGCAAAAATCAATGAAGGCTGGAGACAATTTGTGATATGACTCAAAGTGATCGTTCTCAATGGCTGGTGCAGATGCAGCCACTCCTTGTGACTTATAATATCCAATAAAACTTTATTGTTCTTCAATATTACCATTCTTTTTACCTCATATCTCTGTTTACTGTCTCTATTTTGCGTTTCTTTTTACTTTCCTCTCTGGCTTTGTGTGCTGAGTGAAGTATGGCGACTCGAACTGCTGAGATATTTTGTAAAGCCTCACTCTTTCCTATTCCTTTTGTAATTTTTCCATATATCCAGGATACATGTTGGGTAACTTCGATTGCAGGTATGTCTGTTGTTGATTCGATGACTCGCTTGAGTACAACTACACAATAGGGTGGGAGAAGGCAACATTATTAAAATATTATGTAGTTAAGGTGGAGAGAGAGAGAGGGAGAAGGTTAATCACTGAGCTCCTGTGAAGGTCGGTATATCAGCGGTACTCAACGTTTACTATCAAAATGTATCATGGAACATTTTTACTCATGGTTTTACAAATGCAAAAAGAAACATCTCCCTGCAATTCTATTCTGGAACACTTGTTCCTTTCGGGACTCACAGAACCAAATTTACAGTCATCTATAGTAAGTACGGGGAAATCTTGGCGAAAGGGGTACGAATCAAACCACAGAAACTATGGCAATCTATATGTTGTAAAATCCTGACCCCGGCATACAGAAGAAGTTTGTTCAGTTACACTGAACCTAAAATGGACCTAATTTTGTCTCAATAATTGATATGTAATTTTGAAAATTTTATTATCATTATTATTTTATTTTCTCTCTTCTCATTACTACACACATCACTCCATGTGATGCTAAACTTAACTTGACCCTTTTTTTATAAATTTGATTTGAACTTTACTCAATCCTGTCAGTTAGTTCATTTTATTTTTCGTTCTTTACCTGATTAATATTTTCTGTATTACGTAATTTAGTATCTCTTGACTAGTGTTTAAAAGTTCACAACATTTTAAACGAAACATTCCTTTTGTTACTCTGAAAATGCATTATAAATCTGTGATTGTACAAGTAGAAAGGGATCTGTTACAGAATTTCATCATGAGATGACATCGGTTAGAGAACCATTGGAAAACCAACCAATCAGGAGTACTGGACAGCTGTTTCGTCCTAGTGCTTGAGACTCTTCAACAGTACGTACGCACACCACGGGGTTCGAAACCAGGACCTTCTGGTTACAACGCGAGCTCGAAGACTATTAAGCTCCTGGGATCCGATCCAATGGCCAGTCCATGAGTTCTAACTTCAGCCAATTCACGACATAGTGCGACCGCTAGCCAATGTCCTCACATCCGACCTGCTGCACCCTACTGGTAACGACCTCCCACTAGAACCCAGGTAACTACCTACCTGAATAGGGCCAGTCGCTAGTAAGCATCTCCTTGATATTCAACGGATCTTGTTGAAAGGAGTAACTCTTTTCGATGAAAGCCTCTACGTCTTTTTCATAACTTAACAGAGGTTTTCAAGCTACTTAAACGTTGAGAAAGTATTATTATTACTATTGTTACTACTCCCGCCGAGTTCCGAGCAGAACATGGGGCTTTAGAAGCACATCTCTATTTCATCCCGTTCGCTGGCTGACTCCATATTTACCCAGAAGCTAATATCTCCTCGTCACACGATCTCTTCTTCACATATCACCCTTGAGTTGACTCCCAACGCGTTTCCCACTAAAGATTTCACTTGTAGACACTGAACTGATGACTATCGTTCACTTAGACTCTAAATCACAAATAAACGAAGGAAAAAAAGACAGTAGAAAGTCGTTAAATGACCAGATAGGCTGACCTCGTATCCTGAAACTCCTGGGTCCTATTCATCATTTTGGGGTTGTGGATGCGTACTGATAAAAAAGAAGTCGCTAAAAAGGATGAGACAGCTGATGACCTTCTGCAAGGATCTTGAATTACGAAGTAATGGGTTTAGTTACATAGGGAAGAAATGAAGATGACTGCGTGAAACAATATACACGGTAAATCAGTTGACTATCTACCAACGTCAAATGGGGCTGAATACGATGCACTAGTCGACGAATTCAGACTTCTGTCGATTCACATATCATTTCGCCAGTGAGTTCTGCGTCACCATGAGATAAGTTACGCATTTTTTCAATGATTTACAATGTATAAACGTCTAATATCAACATGGCCAGTTTTAAACGGCGTCATCGAATGAGTCTTCGACTATGTGATTTACACTCTTTCGAAGACCCCCCCCCCCCCCCCTTCAGACAGTGCAAAGTTACACCAGCAAAACAGGCGACTACCTACATCAACACAAAGATAAAAATGTTGAATAAAACACATGTGCACCCAGTTAAGATTGCTCACGCTTCAAAGCAACAAACAGGACACGGTGAAACGTTCAGAAAAAAAAATGGTGTTTTGATTATCTTGACATGCTGCCATTGTATGATAATGTTTCGTTTGCCGAATCAACTGAGCATATGTGCAACTAGAATGATTCAATGTTTGTCCAGGATATGTAGAAAATTCTACGGTTACTGTGTCCACAGCATCACAAATAAACATTTAAGCATGACTGACTGATTTCAATGTAAAACTTTGCACAGACGTCCAGCAGCTCGAGTTGCCACAATCCCTCCTTATAGCACACAAAGCAAGAGAAGAGAATAAAGAGAGATTCGAAAGTGAGATAATAAACAGAAGTGTGAGGCAAAAAGAATAGTAATATGGAAGAAAAATATAGTTTTATTGGATATTATAAGTACAGGGAGTGGATGCATCTGCACCAGCCATTGAGAACGATCACTTTGAATCATATCACCAACTGTCTCCAGCCTTCAGTCCATTTCAAAATCTTGAAGACCCCAACCAGAAAACCGGTCTACACCTCCCTATGTGACTGGCTTAAACTAACTGTTGTGGATTTCATTGACTGATGAAGTCATGTTTTGGTTTAACCACCACTAGGTATTTTCCGGCCTGATCCATACTATGTCAGCTAACACTGCCCGTCGAGGAAGGCGATGACTAGGATAGGAATACGTAACACATGGCCTAACCATCTCAATTGATGTAACAACCTCTTCGATTGATTACCCCTCCAACTCACCTAGCACTCAACCGATACCTAATCTCAATATTGCTCACCCTATTATACCTACCACCTAACACGGGAGGTAGAACACAGACACCTATGATCAAAGACAGCTAGCCGGCCTTTTCATATCCTCCACTTTCAATCACCAGTATGTGTCACAGCCATAAAGCAGAACACTGCGAACTTTTAAGCAGTACACATGCCGTTTGGTCTGCAGCCAGTCGGATATCACGGCTACTAAGCCAGAGATGGCGTAAGTTGAAGGGGTGGGGTACATATGCCAAACCAGCCTTCTGTATCCGAGCTGAGATTTCGTCAGGAGGAGGGGAAATCAATCGAAGAGATTGTGAAGTTACATCAATTGAGATAGTTAGGCCATATGTTATGCATTCCTATCCTAGTCATCGCCTTGCCCAACGACAGGCAATGTTAGCTGACATAGGATCACGTTGGAAAAGAACTAGCAAGTGGTGGTCAAACCAAAAAATGGCGGCATCAGTCAATGAAATCCACAACAGTTGGTTTAAGCCAGCCAAGCAGGGAGATGTAGACTTCATGGCTGATTGGGGTCCCCGGGATGGTAAACACCACACCAATGAAGACTGGAAACAATCAGTAACATGGCTAAAAATCGTTCACAATAACTGGCGTAGATGCATTCACTCCTTATGATTCCTCATATCCAATAAATCTCTATTGTTCTTCCATATTATTATTATTATTTTTTGCCTCACACTTCTATTTACTATCTTACTTTTGAATCTGTCTTTACTCTCGAATTCGTCACCGACGGACACTAATTAGGGGAACATTGAAAACCAAAAAGAGCTTCGGCCATCTATTTCGTTCTAATTCGTGACTACTCTTCGCAGCACACTATGGACGCAAAAACCTACCT